CCACAGGAACAAAGCCATGGAGTTGGTTCTGACTTATAGCAAGCGACTACTCTAAGATTGGTGTGTTGGAACCGCTGACCTTTTGGTTAATAATCCAGCATTTATCCTAGAGCATCACATCAGGACTCTGACACATATTAAAATAGAATTTCTCAGTAGAGAAAACAATCCCTTTTGTCAATGATATGTCAAAATTATGGGAAAAATTTTTTTTCTCATCTGGAAATGATCTCCTTAAGGAGAGACATTATCTCACATGTTAACTTATTGATCATAGGGAGAAACAATCTTTTAATATGTAACAACTAAACTATTCTTTGTACCTCATTTTTATTAAAATACCACTTTAGAATCCATTTGTAAACCAGGCTAATAGAAACATTATCTAACCTAAAACTTAAGGTGGAACAAAAAAGGAAGATTTCATTTCTACCCTGTCAAGAGAAACCAAGGGCAAATCTGTATGTCGGGGGGGAAATGAATGTATAACTAAAATGAAAATGTGGAAAACTTCCTACCAGAGCAAATAATACTAGCACTGCAAATTACAAGCCTAAAGAACTTGCTGATTAATTAAATCAACAATTGTGGAACGCCAGAAATTTGCAAGCCTCCATACAACATACTGACAGGAATATTATAAATAGATATTAAAGTCTTACTTGAGAGTGAAAAACATACGTCCTAAATATTTTAAAGCAAACTGCAAAAAATATTATTCATTCAAAGAACAAACATTTAATGTGTAGTTAGTACATGCCAGACACAGTGGTAAGTGCTCGAGACACAGCTGTGAGCAAGGCATGAGAGTGGTTGACATCAATCATCATTTACATACTTAATGGAAACATGACCTTATTTTAGATTCACAGGGTCTCTTTGTTCAGGATTCCTTTTGCCGCATGTCCTTTCAGGCTTAAACCAAAGCCCATTTATTTAACTCAGTAGTTTATATGAAGAACTGCCACGCCGGCAATAGAAGTTTCTTTTAAGTTTTAAATGTGAATTTCTTTCTTAGCATGTGCATATGTCAAGAAATTAGGTAATGGATGTATTTTTAAAGCCAAATAACAGTACTGGTGATTTAAGAGTTCTATGCAAATAAAACATTGTGGGTTAACTATACACTGGCTGAAATACAAAATTAGTAAAACAGAAAATTGTGACGGTACCATTTACGCTGTCATTGCCAACCTCATTGTCTGGCATTAATTTCAGCCATTAAAGTCATTAGAACAAAATGACAGCTTAACACTGCTTGAAATTTACTTGAAAAGCACAATAAAAGTGCTGCAATATATTAAGGTCAGGATTGGTGCAACCCACATGTTGAGCTAAAACACATTATAAAAATTTCCCCCAAAATGTTGTTGTTGTTGTTGTCAGGTGCCATCGAGTCGGAACCAACTCATAGCGACCCCATGCACAGCACAACGAAACAATGTCCGATCCTGGGCCAACCTCACTACCGCCGCCACACTTGACGCCATCAATGATGCCACCTGGCTGATCCATCTCGTTGGGGGTCTTCCTCTTTTTCTCTGACCCTACACCTTACCCAGCATGACATCCTCCAGCGACTGTTCCTTCCTGACAATGTGTCCAAAGTATGAGAGACGAAGCCTAGCCATCTTGGCCTCCAAGGAGCACTCTGGTTGCACTTCTTCCAAAACAGATCTATTGATTCTTTTGGCAGTCCATGGCACTTTCAGTATTCTCCTCCAACACCACAACTCAAAGGCATCAATTCTTCTACAATCTTCCTTATTCACTGTCCAGCTTTTGCATCCATATGAGGTTAATGAAAATACCATGGCTTGGGTCAGGCACACCTTAGTCCTCAAGCTGACATCTCTGCTCTTCAATACTTTAAAAAAAGTTGCTGTGCAGCAGATTAGCCCAATGCAATACGTCGTCTGATCTCTTGACTGCTGCTTCCGCGAGTGTTGATAGTTGATCCAAGAAGAATGAAGTCCTTGACAACTTCAATCTTTTCTCCATTGATAAGAATGTTGTTTATTGGTCCAGTGGTGAGGATTTTTGTTTTCTTTACATTGAGTTGTAATCCATACGGAAGACTGTGCTCTTTGATCTTCATCAGTAAATATTTTAAGTCCTCTTCACTTTCAGCAAGCAATGTTGTATCATCTGCATATCTCAGGTTGTTAATAAGTCTTCCTCCAATCCTGTCACCATGTTTTCCTTCATAGAACCCAGCTTCTCATATTATTTGCTCAGCATACATATTGAACAAGTATGGTGAAAGAACACAACCCTGTCGCACACCTTTCCCAATTTTAAAACATTCAGTGTTCCCATGCTCTGTTCGAACAACTGCCTCTTGGTCCAGGTACAGATTTCTCAGAAGTACAACTAAGTGTTCTGGAATACTCATACTTCTCAATGTTGTCCATAGCTTGTCATGATCCACAATAAAGCATAGGTAAACATCCTTCTGATATTCTCTGCTTTCAGCCAAGAGCCATCAGACATCTGCAATGATATCTCTCGTTCCACGGCCTCTTCTGAATCCAGCTTGAACCTCTGGAAGTTCTCTGTCAATGTATGATTGTAGCCGTTTCTGTATTACCTTGAGCAAAACTTTACTCGCTTGAGATATCAAAGAGATTGTCCGATGATTTCTGCATTCCGTTGGGTCACCTCTCTTTGGAATGGGCACAAATATGGATCTCTTCCAATCAGTTGGCCAGATAGTTGTCTTCCAAATTTCTTGGCAGAGATGAGTGAGTGCCTCCTGTGCTGCCTCACTTTCTTGAAAGATTTCTATTTTTATTCCATCAATTCCTGGTGCCTTGTTCTTTGCCAATTCTTTCAATGCATTTTGGACTTTCTCCCTGAGTATCTTTCAATGCATTTTGGACATCCTCCCTGAGTATCATTGCCCCCTGCAAATGCTACAAACACTGGGTCATCCACCCACGAATCACTCTTCCCATGCAATCTAATCAAGCCAAACATTTCAAAGTTACCTAAAAATGTGTCTGGAAAAATTCACTTTCTCTATCCTGTAAGGTGATCTGGTTTGCCTAGAATCAGTGGTTTACTGCTGTCCTGGTATAATTAATTAGTCATAGTGTGCCTTGCTTTCTTAGTGTTGTGGGTTGAACAATAGGTAATATTCTATCTACCTTAAGGTTAGGTTACAGAATTCAGAATTACATAAATACTTTCCTTTAGTGGAGGTTTAGAGAGACAACAATGAAAACACAGGCTTATAGGTCAGCAAAAGTCAAAAGCATCATGAATAGGGGTACATTTGGACATAGCCATGTTGTTGTTGATGTCCAAGTTATTGTTGTTGTTACGTTAATTCCAACTCATGGCTGTGACTTTTGGATACCTTTCTCAGATATCTCTGGGTGGGTTTGAACAGCT